TTCCATCAACAAACTCTGAAACCAGCAGAATATTGCAAGAATGGCACTGGAACTTCATTTCTAAAGAAATACACTCTCTCTGCCTTTCTGTTTCTCTATCTGTCTCTGGTTGTCTTTCTGCCTTTCTGTTTCTCTATCTGTCTCTGGTTGTCTTTCTGCCTTTCTGTTTCTCTATCTGTCTCTGGTTGTCTCTCTGCCTTTCTGTTTCTCTATCTGTCTCTGGTTGTCTCTCTGCCCTTATGTTTCTCTGTCGCTGGTTGTCTCTCTGCCCTTATGTTTCTCTGTCTGTCGCTGGTTGTCTCTCTGCCTTTCTGTTTCTCTATCTGTCTCTGGTTGTCTTTCTGCCTTTCTGTTTCTCTGTCTATGGTTGTCTCTCTGCCTTACTGTTTCTCTGTCTGTCTCTCTGCCTTTCTGTTTCTCTATCTGTCTCTGGCTGTCTCTCTGCCTTTCTGTTTCTCTATCTGTCTCTGGTTGTCTCTCTGCCTTTCTGTTTCTCTATCTGTCTCTGGTTGTCTTTCTGCCTTTCTGTTTCTCTGTCTCTGGTTGTCTCTCTGCCTTTCTGTTTCTCTATCTGTCTCTGGCTGTCTCTCTGCCTTTCTGTTTCTCTATCTGTCTCTGGTTGTCTCTCTGCCTTTTTGTTTCTCTATCTGTCTCTGGTTGTCTTTCTGCCTTTCTGTTTCTCTGTCTCTGGTTGTCTCTCTGCCTTTCTGTTTCTCTATCTGTCTCTGGTTGTCTCTCTGCCCTTATGTTTCTCTGTCGCTGGTTGTCTCTCTGCCCTTATGTTTCTCTGTCTGTCGCTGGTTGTCTCTCTGCCTTTCTGTTTCTCTATCTGTCTCTGGTTGTCTTTCTGCCTTTCTGTTTCTCTGTCTATGGTTGTCTCTCTGCCTTACTGTTTCTCTGTCTGTCTCTCTGCCTTTCTGTTTCTCTATCTGTCTCTGGTTGTCTTTCTGCCTTTCTGTTTCTCTGTCTGTCTCTGGTTGTCTTTCTGCCTTTCTGTTTCTCTGTCTGTCTCTGGTTGTCTCTCTGCCTTACTGTTTCTCTGTCTCTGGTTGTCATTCTGCCTTTCTGTTTCTCTGTCTGTCTTTGGTTGTCTCTCTGCCTTTCTGTTTCTCTATCTGTCTCTGGTTGTCTTTCTGCCTGTGTGTGTGTGAGATAGAGAGAGTGTCTCTCTCTCTCTCTCTCTCTCTCTCTCTCTCTCTCTCTCTCTCTCTCTCTCTCTCTGTTTGTGTGTCTATATTTATCTGTGTTGACCTTACTGTATCTGTCTATTTAAATATGTGTGTAATACACATTCAAATGTGTTTGTGTCTGTCTGTGTGACTATTAGTCAGCATGTCTGTGTGTCTGTGAATGGAATCACTGATCACATAGCCTAACAAAATGCCTAAAATAAGCCTATCTGATGTAGAATGACAGAGGTGGTGCCTTTGCCCTGGAACACATCTGGACGTCTTACCACAAGGCCAGGCCATAAGTTTTCTCAACATTTACACCTTGTTTACCACTCCACCATAAGTTTTCTCAACATTTACACCATGTTTACCACTCCACCATAAGTTTTCCTAACATTTATACCATGTTTACCACTCCACCATAAGTTTTCTCAACATTTACACCATGTTTACCATCCATCGTAGGTTTTCTCAACATTTGTGCCACCATTTTGTTTCTGTGTTTGTTTACTGGTTAGGAATTCTAAAAAATAAGCTTAGCTTCCTTCTGTCTTCTTCTTCCTCTTCTACTGTTCACTGGTTGTAAACATTTGTAGAAAGTTCTGGTTGTTCATCCACTTCTGGACTTAAGTTTTCTTCCAGAACTTGAGTTTTGTGTTCACTTCACAGATCTGGCTTATTTATGTGCAGACTATTGGTTCCTTGCCTCTCAGGCAGATGTAGTCCGACTTGGAAGGAAACCCACTAATTTGTGGACTCGTAAAACATGCTTGTTAGGTGGGTCATGGATCTGGTCTTGTTATCCCCCAAAACAGAACCCCAGAACCCACACAAGTAGCCCCTATCTGTGACTTCCAGCTCCCGCCCCTCTTGGGGAAGGAGGGGGGGAAGGGAATATACTCATTGCCCTTTAATAATTATGTGGACAAGTGCAACCTATTAGGGATTTGCTGAAATCAGTAATTGTAGGCTGGAAGAGACAAATATCACAGTCTAGCTGTAAACCACAATACAATGTGCCAACCACCCTTTTCAGTGTGAAAGCAGAAAAAGAAGATTGTGAGTCCTCTAAAAAAAAGGACGCAACTTTCTAGCAGTGTTATGCTGTAGTATTGTTACAAGTCTCTGTGTCCCACCATTAGGCCCAACTTATTTTTATAAACAACAGTTATTGACAACAACAAAAATCATTTGAGAAGCCACAAAAATTTATTCCACACTTGACACACATGCTGTAGGTTGTTGGCTCCTGATCTAGAATACTATTATATTTGGTTCTTGTTTGAGCACCCCCTTGTTACTGTTTTATTTGTCCTAGGAAGCTCTGTCTACAGAAGCTCCATCTGATTTGCTTGCTGACATTCACAGATTCACAGCCATTTATAAAAAAAACATGTTCAACATAATATTTCATACCTTTCTTCTTCTTCTTTGCGTTCACCAGCTGTAAACTCTGGCAGAAAGTTCTGGTTGTTCATCCACTTCTGGACTGCAGTTCTGTTTTAGAACCTGAGTGTTGTGTGTGCATCCATTTTACAGATCTGATTCATTTTATGCAGACCACTGGTTCCTTGCCTCTCAAGCAGATGCACTCCGACTTCTAAGGAAGCTCCCAATTAGTCAACTCTTACGACATGCTTTTGGGTAGGCAGTGGGTCTATTCTTGTTTTCCCTATAACGGGGCCTCGGAACTCGCATGGGGATTTCAGACCTGTCTTTTGACATTGAAGGAAACTGATTTGCTACACTAGATAGGTTTTATTTTTTGAAATACATAGTGGGCCATATTGATGGGGCACATTTATATTTATATTACTGTGAGCAGTAACTGTCATGAATGTTTTAGATATAGCTTATTAGGAAAACGTAAGGATGGGAATTACTGTTACACTTGTCTTCCAGCAGTAGTGTCAATGACAACCCTTTCATAAGACTTTCCGTGATGGCTCTTCTCGAGATTCCGTGATACCCATTGGCATCAAGATCCCCAATTCTAACTCCAGCAGACTACTTCCTGTGGGGTTACTTGAAGGACAGAGTGTCCACCACAAGGCCCACTACTGGCAGTGAACTAAGAGGAAACATCTGGAGGGAGATAGCGACCACCCCAGCTGAATCTCTGGTCAAAACTATGCTGAACATGACTGTAAGAGCCTTAGAATGTTCTCATCAAGGTGGTGTCCATCCCAAGGATATGACTGTAAGAGCCATAGAATGTTCTCATCAAGGTGGTGTCCATCCCAAGGATATGACTGTAAGAGCCATAGAATGTTCTCATCAAGGTGGTGTCCATCCCAAGAATATGACTGTAAGAGCCTTAGAATGTTCTCATCAAGGTGGTGTCCATCCCAAGGATATGACTGTCAGAGCCATAGAATGTTCTCATCAAGGTGGTGTCCATCCCAAGGATGTAATCTTCAAACACTTAACACACTGCAAAACTCCTGTCTTTTGGTAGTGTTTTCCATATATTTGGTAATAATGTTGCTTCCTTTATGCTCCACATATGTATTTTAAATGTCCCATTAATGTGGCTCTCCCTGTATATCATTTTCCTGCTCCATCCTGCTCTGAAACTTTGTCATACGTCTTTAATAAATAACAGATCTCTGGAATATTATTTACGATCTCCAGACTTCAGAATTACTTGGTATATAGCACACCATTCAAGATTACTTGGCATATAGCACACAATTCAAGATTACTTGGCACATAGTACACCATTCAGTGACATAAACACCCTTTTCTGAGTAACAATTGTGATTTCATTGTTATTTTTTTATCTATTCATGCAGCTACTTATTTTTATTATCTTCCGATCACACAAAAATTACTGACCCTGTTATTATGCTCCTCCAATCAGAAACAGTTACTGCTTTCATTGTTTAATTTCTCCAATCAGAAATAGTTACAGATTACACTGTTATTTTCCTCCAATCAACAACAGTTACTGATCGCATTATTTGTTTCCTTCAAACAGAAACAGCATTCCTGGCTCAGCGGTGTGTGTCTACAACATGACAGCTTTTGCCAACGCCTTCGAAGGTCCCTTCAAATTCCAGGAAAGTCCCTCTGCAGCGTGGCTTATGAATGACAATCATGTTGTTCATGGCAAGGTACCTCAATTGTGTGTCTGCGATTGTGTTGGCTATTTCTATTTTTACCCGTTCATCTGTCTCAGCATTTCTAAAAGCAAAAATAGGGATAATTTCAAAGAAATATATTTTTGTTTGTTTACAATGCAGTGTCAGTAGATGGAACTAGTCTGGAGCAAACTACTTTGATATGAGTAGATGGAAGATAAAACTGCTGGCATAGAAGAGTTGAATCAAAACAGACAGTGAGGCAGACCTATGAGATAGTAAAGAGATAATATCCAGGTAGACTTACAAACACTTGGAGCCACCAACTCACAGAAAAATCACAGAAAAGAATGTAGTTGGGGATCTGCAGCAAAGAACCTCAAGGACTTTGAATGCTGCAGAAGAAAAATAGTAAGAAGGTGTATTAAAAAAGGTACAATATACAATAGCCTAATCTTCTTTTTCTTCTTCTTTTTGCTGGCTGTAATCTCTGGTGGAAAGTTTTGTTTTCTTGGCAGTTTCTGGACTTTCCTTTTGTTTCAGATCTTGGTGTTTGCATGCACATTCCTTCTACAGATATGACTTGTTTGTATGCAAACTGTTGGTTCCTCGCTTATCAAGTGGATGAACTCCAACTTCAAAGGTAAAGGACCTAATAAAACTGTAAAACCTTTGTAGAATGTGTTTGCTGTATTTATTGATCATGATGGCTGGCATCTAAAACTACCTTGTCTGATTATTTCAGTGTGAGAAACCCAACTCAAACAGTAAACGGTCCTCGGAGCAGTCCACAGATTTGTTTACAGCCGTGAAGAAGTACCAACTCATGGACAGAGCTGTCATGTCTCGGGAGCTGGGACCTCTCATCATGAGAGAGAATGAGAGGTAAATCCAGTTTCTCATCATTATCTTCTCATTCATCTTAGTGCTTGTCGGCTGTAAACTTTAGCGGAAAGTTCAGGTTGTTCGCCCACTCCTGAACTTTGTTCTTGATCCAGAACTTGAATGTTGCGGGCACATCCTTTTACATTTCTGTGATAAACATTCTGTGTGTTTTTCGGTGGCACAGGAGCGGATCAAAGATGGGGTGACCCATTTGCTATGAAGCTGAAACTAAGACTACCAGACCAGACTACCAGATTTCTGGTATATTTGTGTGCAAACTGTTGGTTGCTTGTCTCTCAGTCAGACCCACTCTGACTTTGAAGGAAAGGCCCCTGAACTAGTTGCCTCCAGCAACATGCTTGTTACGGTTGAAGTGGGTCTGTTTGTTCTCCAAAACAGAGCCCTGGAACTAATCATCATTATCATTAAGTGCCTTGCTAGATGGCTTAAGTGTTGACATCTCCATAGCTCTCAGCTCTTGCTATTCTCTGGATCAGCCTAATTGATAACATTCCTCATACTGTCATCTTAAACCACCCAACATCATTTTTTTTTTATCTGCCTCTGACATTTCTTCCATGATCTTTCCAGTTGTCACAATATTCTCAAATTCGTCTCATCTCATCACATTGCTTGCCTACATCTTAATAATGATTTCTGTCATTAAACATTTTAAATCTTCATTAGTTCTCTAGTTGTCCAGGGTGTTTGCAACATTCTGAGAAACATGTTTGCTCATTTTAAAAATCTCGAAGGTTACATTTAGAATAAAGTTGCAATAGCTTCCTTGAAATGGACAAACGTTGTTCGTTTTCCTGTTTGTTACTATAGATATTTGAGTGATAGGTTTGATCGAGTTTTGAGAGACCGAGTTTCTTTCAGGCAGACTGTGATGAGAGTGACGTTCTGCAAAGGACCTGCTACATGATGATGATAGGTTTGATAATTTATTGAGTTACTGTCAATTTTGTTAATTTTGTTGACATTTTTTGGGGCCATGTTTTTTTGGGTTAGGGGAATTGTGGGGAGAATTGTATTGATTTTTTGATAATGTTATTAATTTACTGACAATTTTATTGATTTATTAACACCTTGGTCAATGTATTGATATTGTTATTGATTTATTAACACCTTGGTCAATGTATTGATATTGTTATTGATTTATTAACACCTTGGTCAATGTATTGTTATTGACTTATTAACACCTTGGTCAATGTATTGATATTGTTATTGATTTATTAACACCTTGGTCAATGTATTGATATTGTTATTGATTTATTTATATTGTTATTGATTCCAGGTGGACGCATATTGTTGTGGATCTGGTGCAGACGAAGACGATTCCTTACATCATTTTATTTCTGGCCACAGAAGATGGAAAAGTCCGGAAAATGGTTCGATTTCCCGGCACGGAGAAAACTTGTTTGATTGAAGAGATTAAAATAGTAGCCAACGGGCATCCTCGACCTGTGAAGAACATGAAAATATCATCGAGAAAAGTGAGTCTAAAATACAGATTTTATCGCTGTTGTGATGATAAGTGATGATGATAATAATAATGGTGGTGATGATAATGATGATTTGGGGATGATAGTTGTAATGGTGGTAGTCTTGTCTCATAATTATATTAATAGTAATTGATTCCTTTCATGATTTTTGTCTTACAATTGAAACAGCAAAGTCTTTTAAAGTATTAGTTGGCAAAATATGGGATGAGAAAAGGAAGGTTTGGCCGTCATCTTTTTCTTTCTCTTCTTTGTGTTCACCGAATGTAAACTGTATAAAAACAATGTGATTGTTCATCTACTTCTCAACTTTGGTCTTGTTCCAAAACTTCAAGTTGGCATGCACATGTGTGTTACTGATCTGGCTTCCGTGTATGCAGACTGTTGCTTCTCCAGCTCTCCAATAGATGCACTTCTCTTCAAAGGAGATACTACCGTTGACATGCTTGTGCAGGGCTGACAAGCAATTGACCATGAAAATAGACTGAGTGTTCAATGGGAAGTAAAAAGGTTGCGAGAACCAAGTAATGACTTTGAATCTTCAACCATGACCAGACAGCAAGAACAGCATGTTAAAACGGGTGTGGCCAGACAAGAGCACCATTCAGGCAGCCAGAAAAGAATAAAAAACCAACACAGAACTGACTTCGTCAGCCGCTACACGCTGCGGGATTTACTAAGGAGGGTAGCTGAACACTTGTGGTCTGAATGGTTCGATTTGTAATAACAAAATCTGTTGACTAACTTACTAACTTGTTGGGAAAGTGTGTGTGTGTGGGGGGGGGGGGGGGTGGGGGGTGTGACTGAGTGGGTCTAGTCTTTTCCCCACACCAGAAATGGGGGGGGGGGGGGGGGGGGGCAAATCCATACCAAGAGGATGGGTCAAAAACTGATAATCCTGTATTTAAATCCAAGTTGAGGATCAACCCTGCCTAAAATAGGGACCATAAATTATTCTGAAAGCACAGTAGACCTAATGGAAGCTGCGGCAGCATAGTGGCTTGACACTCCCTGGCCCAAAAGTCTTAGGTTCGCATCCGCATCAAGGCAAATATTTTTCGACATTGACCTAAGCTCCCAGGCTGACCCAGCCGATGGCTACTAGAGCAACCCACTGATGAAGGGTCTTTTACCTGAACTTTACTGACTGTTTTATCCAATTAGCAGTGAGATGTAAAAATGATTCTTGTGCTTATGTTTTAAAATAATGTTGTTCTTGATTCTACTAGGGGGCAATATACATCTCCACAGAGGGCGACATTCTCAAAGTTCCAGTCGAACGGTGTCATCGGTTCTCAAACAGAAGGTAAGCTCTTGTATTTTTTTACAATCAGGCAATGAATAGGGAATTAAGATCTGACATCACAGCATTTGAGACACTCTCATAAGCGCTCAGTACCCATCTTCAGCAGCAAGTAAAGAGTTCCAGTTCTATTGGCACCAGTAACTGAGTGCATATTCGATTTACCTTTAACTTGTGTTGAGCATCGACCACATCCCTTGATAACGTCTGGCAGCACCATTCTTCTCTGACCATGATGACCCAATCAAGCAAGCAGCCACCAAGAAATGTCCGCCTCTTTTGTAATTTTCTAGGGGCAGGGTTTAAGGGACTTAAGAATTGTTCAGGTTAGTTAGTTAATCAACCGATTATTCTCATCGCATGTCGGACACGTCCATAAGCTCTCAGATCCCATCTTCAGTTTCTCTCCCTCAGCGTGTGGCAACTGGTAACACCAGTTCTTTGTTGGTTTACTATTCTTCTTTGGCTACCTGTATAGTGTTCATATCTGGTCTGGCAATACTTTTTTTAAACCGAAATTCTTGTAGACATTTCAATGTAGCTGATTCAGGGTCGTGTCCTGAATTATCTACTTGTTCTGCCTCATTAAGAACATTCAGAATATTGAACCGTTCAATTGCCTGTTCTGTACTTACTGTGGCCCTGTCAGCAAGCCAATCTGCTTGTTCATTTCCTCTTAACATAGAGTTGCCTACTAGAAAAATGAAACTGATTCCTGTCAGATGGGATTTCCTCAGACTCCAATCATTGTCTTTGAACCCATCCAGTTATGATATTAAGCATGCTCATGGAATTTCTTGGCAATTGTTTAATAATAACAATAATGATAATAATTGTTATTTTTTTAATTATTATTATGTGCTGAAGTGCATCATGTGAGCTAATAAATGTTTGGGGCATATTGAAAGAATGTCAGATGACAGAGAAGTAAAACTATACACCAGGAAGATGAATGGTCATAGACCATGAGGCAGACCAAGAAGACAGTGAAGAGATAATATCCAGACAGACCTGCAAACACTTGGTGTCACCAACTGGAAAGAGAAGGCCAACCAGAGAAATGAATGGAGGCAGGTGATATCTGCAGCAATGAACCTCAAGAGCTTGGAATGCTGAAGAAGAAGAATGGCAAATAAATATACAAGTATTTTAAATAATAGGAAATAAATAAACATACTTAAAAAAGTAAATATTTAAAAAAAAGAGTAATAGCAGTAGTAGTTGTTGTAGTGGTAGTATTAGTAGTAGAATAATAATAATAAGAAGAAGAAGGAAAAGAAAAAAAAAGGAAGAAGAAAAAGAAGAAGAAGGTGGTGGAGGAGGGGTGAAGATAGTATCAGCCCCAGCTACCGTCAGCACTGGCCAACCATTTTGTTTGAGTCAGTTATAGTTCTGAGACTTCAACAAAGGTTAAAGGTTAAAGTTGAGAGGATTGACTTCGTTACACAAGGTTTTATTCCATATGGCTGAGTCTCTCTACACAGAATGGCCAGCCACCTGTTGACAGCATCGCGCAAAGAACCATAGTTCCACCAGTGATCCTCAAGGGTTTCCTTTATAATTGCACTTGTGAACTGACCCCAGATTCTTCAGAGCATGAAGCAAGCAGTGACCCACCAAGAAAAAAGGTTGTGGATAGACATGATTGCTAATGCCACACGACAGAAGAAGATAGATGTTCTGTGTCAGAAATTATTGAAAGTACACCAGACAGAAGGTTATGAGTAGTCATAGTTACCAGCACCCCATGACATGGACAAAGAAAGATCATCTGTGTCAGATGATCCATAAGCTGTGATGTTGATTGCCCATCACCATGAGCTGTCATGTTGATAGTACACAAGACAGAAGGTTGTGGATAGACATGATTACCAACATCACTGGGCATGAACTATAGAAATAAGAAAAGTACTCTGTAATTATTTGTACACAGAATGTGTCTGGATGCTCAAGACCCATACTGTGGCTGGGACACCATACTTGATGTCTGCTCACCAGCACCCAATGGCGATCCTGACTCCGTGTTCTGGGAGCAGGATTTCAAACACTGTCCTGTTCTTGACTATCAAGGTAGGAAACAAAAAAAGAAGAAGAAGATGGAGGAAGAAGAAAAGGAGGAGGAGAAGAAGAAAAAGAAGAAGAAGTAGAAGAAAATGAAGAGGAAGAAGAAGAAGAAGAAGAGAAGAAGAAGAAGAGGAGGAGGAGCAGGAGGAGAAAAAAAAAAGAAGTAGAAGAAGAAAAAAAGTTTGTTTAAGAGATGTTAATAAATAGTAATAGTAATATGCCTCATTCTTGATGTGAGAGCCACCGTTGTGTAGTAGCTAGATGCTAACCTGCGGATCAGAAGGTCGTGGGTTCAGGTCTTGATGAAGCCAAACCTTTAAAAAAAAATGACCTTGACTCCCACGTCGACCCAGCCTTAAAATAGATATCACGTCACCCGCTGTGCACCGATTGGGCTGTAAAATATAGGTCTAGCCCTATATGCCCAAAATTATGCCTGAAGGCGTGGAAAAAGATCCTTACTGTTCTTGGCTATCAAGGTAAGAACATCACAAGAACGAAGTGCTGCATAAGAGGTACTGATAAATAGTAAGATAGAAAAATGCTATATTTCTATCTTCTTTTACCCCACCAGGACATCAAACGAGCGATAAACACCTAATGACACCATATGGATGAGGATCACCCGTGGAGAGGTCCCAGAAACCGCGTTCAGCCATTAGACCATATTTATTGCCGGCTATATTGCGGCCCCTGGCAAGAACCAGGGTAGGGCTTTGAATAACGAAAAATTGTATCCCACAACGGGAAAGCAAGATAGTACAATTAGAATAATGCTATCCCAGATCTCTTTAAATATTATATACGCATTATGATTGCAACCATTATGAGATGTCGGTATAGAAGTCCAGGTTAGTTAAAGCAGTGTAGGCTTCCATAGACATGTTAAACCTTTACACACTGGAATGGATTGTAGGCACTTTAGTTGCTGCACTTTGTTATCCCGAAGAAAACAAGTAGCCTCATGTAACTTATATTTGTTTGTTGAAAAGTAAGGGAGGCAATACTAAAATATGTGCGAGTTCACATGTCATTGTTTACATCCCTTGATTTAATATACTGTAAAAAAAAATCCACTTTTTATCACTTTTGCAGTGTAGGTGGCGGGGGTGGGGGAGGGGGGTGTCTTTGAGGCTGAGAATTTAGTGCTGTCGCCACAAACTGTGCAGCTTAGGAGTTTATGTATGCCCCCAGTATAAAAATTTCACAAGCTTACTGAGAGTTTGAAACTGGATCTCCTTATAAAATATACTGAATTAATTTAACAAAGAAAATACTGTATAACTTTACTCGCTGAAGTGTTTCTAAAGGACGTACCATTCTTACAACTGCTGTTTTCTTTTTGTTTCATTATTTTCCATCATCATTGAAACCTTCTTGTAGTTTGAGCATTTTCCCATATTCCTGTTTGTTTGACTATGAAGTTTGTGCAATGAACGATGCTCTTGATAGGCAGTAGTGTGAGCTGTGTTTTTTATATGGAATGTCTTTGATTTGTGCAGCAGTTGTGTTCTGGTATTCAATATGGCTGGTAGCCGGTTTACATGTGAGCTGGTGAAATACCTTATGTAATAATTCTATGTGTGTATAGCCAAGTATCATGCCCGACTAATTCCATTGATGGCAAACTGAATTTCTGGTGGTTACTGTTGGCTTTAGCACCTCAAGCAACTGCCATCAGCATTTACTTCATGCACATATTTCTGGATTGTGCCAGGACTAATTGTTTGTTCACTAGTTTTCAAATGCGACAGTGAGAAACATTTCATTTGATTTTCACTGAGACTAAGACTAAGTCTTGATAGGCAATGAACCTCTTACTGTAGGAAAACCTGAGCCAGATGGGAAGAGACAGTTGAACAGGATGATGGAGCTTGTTCCTATTGGATTATCATCCACAAGGTGACTCTGTGAGTCTCTGAATACAGCCATCTAATTGTAGGCATAAAGTCATATCATGAAAATAAAAGACTAGATAAAACAATGTGTAATTCTTCTTCTTCTTTCGTTTGCTTGAAAAAATAATCTGTATCTGCAATGTTGACTCTAGTATGAACTTCACTGTCTTTGTTTAATTCACTTAGCGACCCACAAAGTTTGGCTTCCACCGGTGTCTCTCTTGGCCAGAAGTTTTGCCTGGAGATGTTGTATTTGGGACAGTGTTGGAGGATGTGATTTGTTGTCTCAGGTGCCAGTCCAGTCTTGAATCGCCAATTCTGAATTTTGTGTACATGTGGCTGTGAAATCAACCATGCCCTGTTCTAAGGTGTAGAATAATGACTTTTTCTGGTCTGTCCATAAACCTGGTGTACTAATTCATACCTTTCGTTTGTCTGATTATTTTAAACTTTTTTTTTTTAAATCTTTTTTTTTTATTTTATGTGTGGCCAGTTGATGGAGGTTGGTCTGAGTGGTCAGAATGGAGTACATGTAGCCAGGTTGGTCTTGATCGAGCCATCGAAAAATGTTTGTGCAGATCCAGGTCGTGTGACAACCCCAAGCCATCTCTAAATGGACGTCCTTGTGGCGAACCAACAATGGAAGTTAGTAATTGCACAGGTGAGTCAACCATTATGATTAATCTGGGTTCATTTGGGTAAAAATTGTGAAAAAATTCAAGATCGCGGTATTCAGGATAAGCCCCCATAATAGCTCCACCTCCTTCCTCAACTGCCAGTGACGAGTCTCAATACCAATGGTACGCATTGTCATCTGTTAACTACTTGTCTTGTTTTCCACACCCTCTGAGTCTCGAGTAAGGCAAAGAGCCACTACCCGCTGCAGCATTCTTTTCTGGTACAGGTTTTTCATATCTTCCATTTTACCTGTTACCTCATCCTACTGGAGAGAGATCACCTTTGCCTTGTCTGGTTGCAGTACACCCCCAAGTGGGACCAGTCCAGCCAGCCTACCACTTTCTCATTCACAAACACATGTCTTCATAATAAACACATGGACATGTATTCATTGGCACTGATAGATGCAGAGGTAATCAGATAATCGCAAAGCCAATAGCATACAAATGCATTAAATGCATAAGCCAGCTGTCAGTAGTGCCAACACAAACAGTCCAACACTAGAACTGCAGTTCATCATTGGTTTAAGCAGAACAGTCTTAATAAGTAGCTGTACATAATCTGTTGACTGACTGACTGACTGATTGGCTGACTGACTGACTGATTGGCTGACTGACTGACTGATTAACTAACTGAATATCATGTAGTCAGTTGGAGAGATCATTGTAAGAAAAAGCAGAGGCAGGCCAAGAAGTCTGCTTGACTCTCTAAGCCTGTCACCATCATCTTCAATCATCATCAGGTTGTATCATTATACGTCACAGAGAACTCGCAGTCTATCCATTAATTCCATTCTATCTTCTGCAGTTCTTATTCAGAATCATGATTGGAATCCACTCCAGCACCTTTGGCCTCTCTCAACAACTTCTGTTTGTGGTTTCTCTTGGACATCATCATATTTCTTCAATCCATTTGTTACCCATTTCATTGCCTGTTTGGTGATTCTCTACTGGCTTGTTCTTTAAGACTGTGGCATGAAGGAATATTATCCCAAATGCCAGTGACAACTATCTGTAGAGAGACACATCTGTACCATTATCAAGGGACATAATTATGATGGATGTGTGAAGAACAGACAACTCATATTTCTCATCTCCTGAACAACTTTTGTCTGATTTCCAGTTCATGGTGCCTGGACGGAGTGGTCGGCCTGGTCAGCCTGCTCGCAGACGTGTGGCATGAGCCACAGACAACGATCACGTCGCTGTGGTAACCCTTCTCCTAGGTTTGGAGGTAATGATTGTCCAGGCAAAGATAAAGACATAGAAACTTGCCCGGACAGTGTGGAGTGTCCACGTAAGTTGTTTTATGTCACTGTTTTTGTCTTTTTAAAATGAACAGTTTGAGTGGTTGCTTATCTGCTTGTGAATCCTTTAGCACTTTCACCTGGAGACACTGCTGATCTGGCTTCCCAATCTGGAACAAATCCCTGGGAAGCCGTTTATGTGGCTTTGCTGCATTGTCCAGTCCCTGAAAAGGCTAATATCAAACTTTGGTATTGTTTGTACGTGTACTGTGTTAGTAAATGCCAGTTTTTATCATATTTACCTGGAGATCAATACCTGATAGCATCAGTAGATATTGATATTGTCCAGTTATCATATTTACCTGGAGATCAGAACCTGATAGCATCAGTAGATATTGATATTGTCCAGTTATCATATTAAGTCAGCTATCTTCTTGTGGGATGCAATTTTTCATTATGTGAAGGTTTGACCCACTGACCTTAACAAACATGTTGTAGGAGTGGACTATTAGAGATGTTTTCTTCAAAGTCAGAGTGCATCTGCCTGAGAGACAAGAAATCAACAGTCTGCATACAAATAAGCCAGATCTGTAAAATGGTTGTGCACACAAAACTCAGGTTCTGGAACAAAGACTAAAGTCCAGAAGTGGATGAACATCCAGAACTTGATGAACGAAGTAGAGCTTTCCACTGGAGTTTACAGTAAATAAATGCAAAGAAGAAGAATAAGCAGTCTAGCTAGAACCCACAACATACTCTGCTAACCACCCTTTTAAGGACGGACACAAAAAAATAAGAAAAGAGAAATACATTAACATAATTTTCTGCATAAGAAGATTTCTCTCCATATATGGTAAGAAAATATATTTTGTAAACTTTACGCAGTGAAAATTGCTTTAGAAACTGATGACCTTATGTTCCTCTCTAGTGGTCCCTGTAGATGGCTCCTGGTCCAGCTGGTCCGGGTGGAGCACATGTACAACAAACTGTAACGGTGGAATACAGACTCGCAAACGATCCTGTGATCGCCCACCTCCCGATCGAGGTGGTCTGCTGTGTACAGGGAACAGAGAGGAGTGGAGGATGTGTAATACTCATAAATGTACAGGTAAGCATAGTCGGCATCTGTGGGTTAGATGCTGTGATGCCGGGTTCGATCCTAGTTGCAAGAACAGCAATTAAAAAATGGGTGAGGCCAGACAAGAGGCAGGAAGTGTAAGGAGAAGAATAAGCCATCACAAAACTAATAAACTATCACAAAACTAATAAACCATCACACAACTAATAAACCATCACAAAACTAATAAACCATCACACAACTAATAAACCATCACAAAACTAATAAACCATCACAAAACTAATAAACCATCACAAAACTAATAAACCATCACACAACTAATAAACCATCACACAACTAATAAACCATCACAAAACTAATAAACCATCACAAAACTAATAAACCATCACAAAACTAATAAACCATCACAAAACTAATAAACCATCACAAAACTAATAAACCATCACACAACTAATAAACCATCACAAAACTAATAAACCATCACACAACTAATAAACCATCACAAAACTAATAAACCATCACACAACTAAAAAACCATCACAAAACTAATAAACCATCACAAAACTAATAAACCATCACAAAACTAATAAACCATCACAAAACTAATAAACCATCACAAAACTAATAAACCATCACACAACTAATAAACCATCACAAAACTAATAAACCATCACAAAACTAATAAACCATCACAAAACTAATAAACCATCACAAAACTAATAAACCATCACAAAACTAATAAACCATCACAAAACTAATAAACCATCACAAAACTAATAAACCATCACACAACTAATAAACCATCATATAACTAATAAACCATCACAAAACTAATAAACCATCACAAAACTAATAAACCATCACACAACTAATAAACCATCACAAAACTAATAAACCATCACACAACTAATAAACCATCACACAACTAATAAACCATCATATAACTAATAAACCATCACAAAACTAATAAACCATCACAAAACTAATAAACCATCACAAAACTAATAAACCATCATATAACTAATAAACCATCACACAACTAATAAACCATCACACAACTAATAAACCATCATATAACTAATAAACCATCACAAAACTAATAAACCATCACAAAACTAATAAACCATCACAAAACTAATAAACCATCATATAACTAATAAACTATCACAAAACTAATAAACCATCACACAACTAATAAACCATCACAAAACTAATAAACCATCACAAAACTAATAAACCATCACAAAACTAATAAACCATCACAAAACTAATAAACCATCACACAACTAATAAACCATCACAAAACTAATAAACCATCACAAAACTAATAAACCATCACACAACTAATAAACCATCACAAAACTAATAAACCATCACAAAACTAATAAACCATCACAAAACTAATAAACCATCACACAACTAATAAACCATCACAAAACTAATAAACCATCACAAAACTAATAAACCATCACACAACTAATAAACCATCACAAAACCGTGTGATGACAGCTGTTACACACTGCAGGATTTACTGAGGAGAGGATCAGTGCACCTATGGGCTGTTATGTTTCCATGTGCAGTAAGGATGAAGTGTTGACTAGCTAACTAACTATTATCACTTTGACTCAACACCGACAAACAAATACATATAAACATTCTCAGACAAGGCATCATATGGATGTAAGTCTTAGATCATCGAATACATCTACACTTTCAGTACCAGTTTCACAGGAATACAAAAGCATGAAGGAAAGGCAGGAATTCATTATTTCTAAAGTGGCAATATATACAGTGGATATAATCACGGAAAATCAGACATCTTTAGTATATTATTACTCAGTTTGAAAGGTAAAAGAACGCATTTTGCTTTGGAAGGAAATAAAGGGGCAGAGACACCTACATATCAGACAGTTCTTGGGACCGAAAGAGTTAAGACATGTGCTGAGATGTCGATTCTCTAATCAGTAATCAGGATCACAGAAGATGAGTTTGGCCATTCTCTAATCAGTAATCAGGATCACAGAAGATGAGTTTGGCCATTCTCTAATCAGTAATCAGGATCACAGAAGATGAGTTTGGCCATTCTCTAATCAGTAATCAGGATCACAGAAGATGAGTTTGGCCATTCTCTAATCAGTAATCAGGATCACAGAAGATGAGTTTGGCCAGCACAGATGTATTCATGGATTTTTGGGCACATCTTGGGCATGAAACAACATAAACTGGCACAAGACCACAATTCTGTCCAGTAGGTCAGGATGTGAAATTTGTTCTGCACAGGACCTGACAGATGATCATGATGATAAACTGTTTGTTGTTTTGTTGTTGTAGCAGTAATAGTGGTAGCAACAGCATTAGTGGTGGTAGCAACAGCAGTAGTGTTGGTAGCAACAACAATAGTGGTGGTAGCAACAGCAGTAGTGGTGGTAGCAACAGCAGTAGTGGTGGTAGCAACAGTGGTAGTGGTATCAACAGTGGTAGTGATGGTAGCAACAGCAGTAGTGGTGGTAGCAACAGTGGTAGTGGTATCAACAGTGGTAGTGATGGTTGCAATAGTGGTGGTAGACACAGCAGTAGTGGTGGTAGCAACAGTGGTAGTGGTATCAACAGTGGTAGTGATGGTAGCAACAGCAATAGTGGTGGTAGCAACAGCGGTAGTGGTATCAACAGTGGTAGTGATGGTAGCAACAGCAGTAGTGGTGGTAGCAACAGTGGTAGTGGTATCAACAGTGGTAGTGATGGTTGCAATAGTGGTGGTAGACACAGCAGTAGTGGTGGTAGCAACAGTGGTAGTGGTATCAACAGTGGTAGTGATGGTAGCAACAGCAGTAGTGGTGGTAGCAACAGCAGTAATGGTGGTAGCCACAGCAGTAGTAGTTGTTTAACAGCAGTATCAGAAGTAGCATTGCATCCTAGGCTTGCTTGCAGATCAGAAGGTCTTGAGTTCGGGTCCTGACAGAGCTGGACTTTTTTCAAATAGGACCTTGGCTTCCAGGTCAGCACAGCCTTGAGTGGGTACCAGGTACAGTCTTGGGAAGTAAATGCGGCCAGTGTGGTGCTGACTGCATCACCCAGGAAGTGCCAACTGGTCTATAAAATATAGATCTAGCCCTATATGCCCAGTGCTCGTGAAGGCATGGAAAAGGGTCCTTTACCTACTCACATATTGCATCCTAGCTAGCTAGTGAAGGATACCCCAGAACTGAGGATATCTCATCCCCAGAGTAGTAGGTATCTCATCCCCAGAGTTGTAGATATCCTATCCCCAGAGTTGTAGATATCTGATCCCCTGAGTTGGAGGTATCTCATCCCCAGTAGGTATCTCATCCCCAGAGTTGTAGATATCCTATCCCCAGAGTTGTAGATATCTGATCCCCTGAGTTGTAGATATCTCATCCCCAGAGTTTTAGATATCTCATCCCAGAGTTATCGATATCCTATTCCCAGAGTTGTAGATATCCCATCCCTAGAGTTGTAGGTATCTCATCCCCAGAGTAGTAGGTATCTCATCCCCAGAGTTGTAGATATCTCATCCCCAGAGTTGTAGATATCTCATCCCAGAGATGTAGATATCCCATCCCCAGAGTTGTAGATATCTTATCCTTAGAGTTATAGATATCCCATCCCTAGAGTTGTAGATATCTTATCCCCAGAGTTGTAGATATCTCATCCTCAGAGTTGTGGATATATCACCCCTCAGTTGTGGATATCTTATCCCCAGAGTTGTAGATATCCCATCCCCAGAGTTGTAGATATACCATCCCCAGAGTTGTAGATATCCCATCCCCAGAGTTGTAGATATCTCATCCCCAGAGTTGTAGATATCTTATCCTTAAGAGTTATAGATATCCCATCCCTAGAGTTGTAGATATTTCATCCTCAGAGTTGTGGATATATCACCCCTCAGTTGTGGATATCTTATCCCCTGAGTTGTAGGTATCTCATCCCAGAGTTGTAGATATATGATCCCCAGAGTTGTAGATATCTCATTCCCAGAGTTGTAGAAAACTCATCCCCAGAGTTGTAGATATCTTATCTCCAAAGTTGTAGATATCTGATCCCCTGAGTTGTAGATATCTCATCCCTAGAGTTGTAGATATCCTATCCCCAGAGTTGTAGATATCTGATCCACTGAGTTGTAGATATCTCATCCCCAGAGTTGTAGATATCTGATCCCCTGAGTTGTAGATATCTCATCCCCAGAGTTGTAGATATCTCATCCCCAGAGTTGTAGATATCCCATTCCGAGAGTTGTAGAAATCCCATCCCCAGAGTTGTAGATATCTCATCCCAGAGTTGTAGATATCCCATCCCCAGAGTTGTAGATATCCCATCCCCAGAGTTGTAGATATCCCATCCCCAGAGTTGTAGATATCCCATCCCCAGAGTTGTAGATATCCCATCCCCAGAGTTGTAGATATCCCATCCCTAGAGTTGTAGGTTTCTTTTTCCTAGAGTTGTATGTACCCCATTCCCAGAGTTGTATGTATCTCATTCCCAGAGTTGTAGATATCTGATCCCCAGAGAATTCTCCTCCTATGGGTTGAGGGCCACCTTGTTAGTAGGGGTTGGAAAGACAAATAAACACACTGCCCATCAACAAGTACATTGTAAGTGGTGCGCACTGCCCATTAACAAGTACATTGTAAGTGGTGCACACTGCCCATTAACAAGTACATTGTAAGTGGTGTGCACTGCCCATTAACAAGTACATTGTAAGTGGTGCGCACTGCCCATTAACAAGTACATTGTAAGTGGTGCGCACTGCCCATTAACAAGTACATTGTAAGTGGTGCGCACTGCCCATTTACAAGTACATTGTAAGTGGTGCGCACTGCCCATTAACAAGTACATTGTAAGTGGTGCGCACTGCCTATTAACAAGTACATTGTAAGTGGTGCGCACTGCCCATTAACAAGTACATTGTAAGTGGTGTGCACTGCCCATTAACAAGTACATTGTAAGTGGTGCGCACTGCCCATTAACAAGTACATTGTAAGTGGTGCGCACTGCCCATTAACAAGTACATTGTAAGTTGTGACTAATTAAGGATTTCCAAAAACTGGGTGTTTTGGACCAAAGGACACAAATGACAGACACTAGCTGTAAACCACAATACAACATACCAATCACCCTTTTACAGGTAAATGCAGACAAAAACTGAAGAAGGAAAAGAAGAAACATGATCATCTTTTTAACAGTAACATTACATTTTAACACATTATTTATCTTCAGAAATTTCCAAGTCATCACCTTGGACAGAATGGATACAAACAAATAGAACAGCGGGTGGCTATTTTCAACAAAGATTTCGCTTCACCTGTCGAGCAAACGTTGAAAACAGCAAAGATATTAAAACTTCATTTGCTAAAGCCCAGGCTCAATTCTGCTTCAATAGCAACAAAGGCTGCTACAAGCCCAACGAACTTTCCGATGGCATCACAAGTATAGACACTTTCACTGCAGTAGATAGGGTGCTTAAAAATTATTGCCGGCAAAGGCGGAGACTGTTCAAAAAATACTGCAATTGTCGGACATTAGGCGTCTTTTTAGTGTGTCAAAAATGCGGGTTTGGATGACTAGCGCCAAGCTACTGGGATGTACTGCTAGACTACTTGGTTGCTCTACCAGATCACTTCTGGGAGCAGAACAACGAGGCAGAATTACAGAGAGAGAGAGGGAAAACGCAACAGATAACATCTCAAGACATAAGCAACAGAGCCACTGTTGGTTAAATGTTAACAGTGTTATCATGTATATGATATGAGAATGTCAACCTTGCTGTACCATGTGTGTGTATATATATATATGAAATCAAAGAATTTGAACAGAATCAGTAGCAGAAGTAAATAACGTAGCTTTGTTTTCTATTAAAGTATTACAAATGATTTGTAAGATACCCTCATTTTTAAAGAAAACCAATTTTTTTTAAATACTGCTGTAAATTCAGGGTCTCTAGCTTTCAATAGTAAATATATTAATAAGTATTAGCTAAATAACAGGCTCAAAAAAGCATGAGGTTTTTGTCTAAGTATCAGTGATCAACAATATATTATTTCAAATTCTTTGTTAAATGTTGACCTGTTATTTGGTATTGCTGTTTATGATTGAGTCAGTATTAAATTCCTTCAGCCGCACAAAATATATTTTGGTGTGATTTAAACTTCTGGCGAAAATTTGGTCAAAGTATATCAGATACAAGAATCAAATGTTATTAAAGAATATTGTGTATAAAAATAATTCAAAAAGACTTCAAGCTGCTGTTCTGCCGACTGATTCTGTCAGTTCTTTGTATGACACGCACAGTTGGAAAAACGTCCACAACAACTGAGATATTTGCCAGTTAGGATGTATCACCAAGTTTAAGAAGATTGGAAAGCAATAAGTGAAAGTATTAGACCTGATTTTTGAAGTGTGGGTTGTGTATGTTATATTAAAAAAAGTTTTAATCTTCTTCTTCACATTCACCGGCTGTAAACTCCAGCAGAAAGTTCTGGTTGTTCATCCATTTCTGGACTTTGGTCTTGTTCCCGGACCTGAGTGTTGCATTCACAATAATTTTTACAGATCTGACTTAATTGTGTGCAGATTTTAATTGTTTACTTCTTGGGCAGATTTTCTCCAACTTTAAAACAAACATCAACTTTATCTATGTTGACCTGGCTCCCAGTTGGGAACCTATTTCCAGGAAACTGCCGAGAGGTGGAGATAACTCTTGACCAGTAGAAAGGGGGGAATAACTCTTGACCAGTATGACACCTGGCCACTGAGCACCACCATATGTGATTCAGCACATCTGCATCCTGATAAAAGCATTTTACTTTTTTGAACTGTTCCCGCCTTTACCTATGTGATTTTTCCCCCTTACTGTTCCTGTCTTTCTCCTTGTGTTAATTGATCCCTCCTACCTTCTTACTATCTGTTGCTACTCTTTGGTATATAATATCTTCTTAATATCTTCATTTGCTTTCATTTTATTACTGTCTTTATTTGTTCCACTAGACATGTGGCTGTGTTATGAATGGTCTAGTTGGTTCAGATTTCTCGAGTATTTCACAACTCTCCCAGTTTTTTTTTTTAAAGTAACACTCACTTTTTTTAAAGTGATATATGAGTGTCTTAGTAACATCCTTCTTTCGTGACTTCTGAAAATATTTTTTTTCTCTCCTTTAACTCATAAAAGCCAGAAAGGGCCAATAAATGAAACTCCTGTCTTCATGTGTTCATGATAGGATAACCTCTACAAACCTGTTTATTTAATCTTTTCTGGCTGTAAACTTTAAAAATCCTACTTTTAACTCCTTGTAACAAATTATTTAATTTTGAAAGGTGGTAGCAACAGCAGTAGTGGTGGTAGAAACAGCAGTAGTGGTGGTAGCAACAGCAGTAGTGGTGGTAGTAACAGCAGTATTAGAAGTAGTAGCAGCAGCTGCAGTAGCAGTAGTGGCAGTAGGAGTAGGGAATAATTAGCATTTTTGGGAGTAATAATTAAAAAAATAAATACTTCAAGTTAACAGTCAGATGTAAAAATACCAGACACAGAGCTAAAAGATACTTTTGTTTTCTATCCCCTTTTCCCCAACTGGAGCTGAGGCCCTCAGCAAATTCACACTGATGTCCTTTCTTTTCCTATCTTCTGCAACTCCCTCCATTTCCAAATTATTTTATTCACCACCTCATTTCTTTCCATCCCTCTTATGATCAGTGTGTTCCTAATTGTCTTTTCCTACTTTTCGCCAGTTTTTGTATGAAAAGTTGTTTGTGGTTATACTTTCCAAAGTAATATACATTCTTTTGTATCTGCTGTGTGAATCTATTGACACCAGCTCATTTTCTACTGGTAGAATTTACTGGATAAATGTGCATCAAATTTGACATACAACATTAGGGATTGAATATTCTCAATGGCAACACTTACTCTGTTGAATTGCAAATGTGTGTATTTGATTATAAATATTACACTAAAGTTCTAAATGTGCATTTAATGGAAAGAAGAATAAATTAGATATATCCAACATGAAATCAATGTGGAAGAAATTATTTTCAAATACAAGTGAGGAAAATGAAATGTGTTAGGACATTAAAGAGACCTGTAGGTCTGGAGAAGGTAATCAGACAGGAAGGCATGCCAGGGAAGCAGTGAAGATGAAGACCCAAAGGTGGACGGATTCAAGATGAGATATAAGATTTAGACATGACAGTAATTGAGGCAAGGCACCTAGTTTATGGCAAAAAGACATTTAAAAAGACATGATGGCAGACTGAGGAGGATACAAGCCTTATCCTTGGAAGAAGAAACGGTTAGCAGCTGATCAAGGAGGGAACTCTGACAAGTGAATAGAGCACAGTTCTTCTGATCCACTCTCAGCTTTTGCAGCATGCATTGTCCCAAATATATTGGTGTTACCTTTACTTTGAAGTAAACAAGGCAGGCCATGGAAGGATCATGCTGTATGGGTAACACTTGTTCCTTATAATACTGCCCTCCATGGTCCCATTGTGGGGAAAACTAGAATAAACCCACTGCCTCCCTAACAAGCATGTCATAAGAGTCAACTAATTGGGGGTTTCCTTCAAAGTTGGAGGGCATCTGCATCCAAGGCAAGGAACCAACAGCCTACATACAAATAAGCTAGATTTGTATACTGGATGTGCACACAAAACTCAAGTTCTAAAACAAGACCAAATTTCAGAGGTGGATGAACAACCAGAACTTTCTTCCAGAGTTTACAGCCGATGAACGTGAGGAAGAAAAAGATGATACTGCCCAGGCTTTGTGCTATAGAGCAGAGGAACCTCATCCTTTGTGTTGATTGCCCATTACCATGAGCTGTGGTGTTGATTGCCCATCACCATGAGCTGTGATGTTGATTGTCCATCACCATGAGCTGTGATGTTGATTACCCATCACCATGAGCTGTGATGTTGATTGTCCATCACCATGAGCTGTGATGTTGATTGTCCATCACCATGAGCTGTGATGTTGATTGTCCATCACCATGATCTGTGATGTTGATTGTCCATCACCATGAGCTGTGATGTTGATTGTCCATCACCATGAGCTGTGATGTTGGTCGCTCATCCCCATGAGCTGTGGTGTTGATTGTCCATCACCATGAGCTGTGATGTTGATTGTCCATCACCATGAGCTGTGATGTTGATTACCCATCACCATGAGCTGTGATGTTGATTACCCATCACCATGAGCTGTGATGTTGATTACCCATCACCTTGAGCTGTGATGTTGATTTCCCATCACCATAAGCTGTGATGTTGATTACCCATCACCATGAGCTGTGATGTTGATTACCCATCACCATAAGCTGTGATGTTGATTGCCCATCACCATGAGCTGTGATGTTGATTGCCCATCACCTTGAGCTGTGATGTTGATTGCCCATCACCATGAGCTGTGATGTTGATTGCCCATCACCATGAGCTGTGATGTAGATTACCCATCACCATGAGCTGTGATGTTGATTGCCCATCACCATGAGCTGTGGGGATGACTGCCCATCACCATGAGCTGTGATGTTGATTACCCATCACCATGAGCTGTGATGTTGATTACCCATCACCATGAGCTGTGGGGATGACTGCCCATCGCCATGAGCTGTGATGTCGATTACCCATCACCATGAGCTGTGATGTTGATTACCCATCACCATGAGCTGTGATGTTGATTACCCATCACCATGAGCTGTGGGGATGACTGCCCATCGCCATGAGCTGTGATGTTGATTACCCATCACCATGAGCTGTGATGTTGATTACCCATCACCATGAGCTGTGATGTTGATTGCCCATCACTATGAGCTGTGATGTTGATTACCCATCACCATGAGTTGTGGGGAAGACTAACCATCACCATGAGCTGTGGGGATGACTGCCCATCACCATGAGCTGTGGTGTTGATTACCCATCACCTTGAGCTGTGATGTTGATTACCCATCACCATGAGCTGTGGTGTTAATTGCCCATCATCAGGAGCTGTGGTGTTGATTGTCCATCACCATGAGCTGTGGTATTGATTCCCATCACCATGAGCTATGATGTTGATTGCCCATCACCAGGAGCTGTGATGTTGATTACCCATCGCCATGAGCTGTGGTGTTGATTGCCCATCACCATGAGCTGTGATGTTGATTGTCCATCACCATGAGCTGTGATGTTGATTACCCATCACCATGAGCTGTGATGTTGATTGCCCACCCCCATGAGCTGTGATGTTGATTACCCATCACCATGAGCTGTGGGGATGACTACCCATCACCATGAGCTGTGATGTTCATTGCCCATCACCATGAGCTGTGATGTAGATTGCCCATCACCATGAGCTGTGATGTTGATTACCCATCACCATGAGCTGTGGGGATGACTGCCCATCGCCATGAGCTGTGATGTTGATTACCCATCACCATGAGCTGTGATGTTGATTACCCATCACCATGAGCTGTGATGTTGATTGCCCATCACTATGAGCTGTGATGTTGATTACCCATCACCATGAGTTGTGGGGAAGACTAACCATCACCATGAGCTGTGGGGATGACTGCCCATCACCATGAGCTGTGGTGTT